CAAAAGAAAAAGTTCCAGCAGTTGCAACTGGTGATATATGGAGAAAGTGGAAAAAAGAAAAAGAAGACCAAAAAGATTTAGCTGAAAAAATAAAAAAAGAGAGAAAAATTTTAAGAGAAGCTCGAACTAAGATAAAGCAAGAAAAAGATAAAGAAATAGCAGAAAAGAAAAAGGAGATACAATTAGAAAAAGAGAAGCTGAAAAAACTTGAAGAAGAATCTAAAATGCTGAGAAATAAAAAAATTGAAATAAAGGAAGAGAAATTAGCATTAGTACAAGAAGAAGTTAAAACATTGAAAGATGTTAAAAAATCGAAAGCTGCTACTAAACCAAAACTCAAATCAAAAGCCAAACCTACAGCAAAATCAAAGTCAATACCCAAAAGGAAAAAAGAAAATAAAGAAAACTAAGCTAAAAATAAATTATACTTTTCAATACTAATTTAATTTAGAAGAATGTTATCTAACATTTAAAATACTTTTTATTTTTGTATTCTTAAATATGTAAAACAATATATAAGTTTTCCTACTCTAAATTGCAATTTTATTTACATAACCCTGTCTTGAATAATGGAGCAAAGTCGCTGAGCGAAAATACGGACAGACGTGAGCGAATTTCGGGTCAGTCACGTTGTGCGTGAGCGAAAATAGGTACTGTAAAGGAGCCAGCTTTATTTATATTTTTTCAATTCAAAACCTTCGAAAATAATTTTTCACACATATCAGTATCATAGCTGGACATGTAAACTATCATTTAAATACACTTATTTTGCCGAAAATTCGTTTAATCTTTTTATATACGCTAATTTCGCTGTTAAACGCCCTTAGCTGAGCGAAAATCGGGACGTTGACCTTATCGATCGTTCAACCGGTGTAATTTGCTCAGCAGCTCGTATATATATCGAAGCTACCTATATAACATTGAAAAATTGAGCCGAGGGTATATATAATTGGTGTATACCGCATGCAGATCTTGCATTTACAAGACGATGACGTACCTGAGTACACACACAGGATCAGCAGCAGCGGCAGGAACAGCTCATTTCAAGGAAGCTGCAACGCTGTGCACCCGCGAATATATATAACGCGCGTATATATCATTACGAAGCTCCGAGCTGCGCATCTCATCGTGCTGCTCTCTCTCTTCGAGAGTCCAAGGTCATATGCACTTGAGCAGACGAGCTGCACGTACAGCACACACACACGCGCGCGCGCGCGCACCGCACAGTGCATAATATATTCACAGGGAGCGAACAATGAGAGAGTGAGAGAGGCGCGCGATGCACCGCACACGCTCGAGGCTAATGCGTAGAGCCGAGCATCGATGCTCGCTTGCGCGCAGCACAGAGACACAGAGGTGCTGCACGTGGAGACTATATACCCCTCGAGAGCTTAGGATATATATAGGTATTATAATACTCAAATAGCTGATCTCTCTATATACGTGTATGAGAGAGAGAGAGCTGCGAGCGAATAATATAGTGCGTCTCTTCCTCTTGGCCCGTCGATCCTCCCACACCCCCGGCGGCTCGATCATATCCTGCGCGCAGCGGCAGCGCTACATTATTGCCCCGCCAAAGGGAGAGATCATCGTCGTCCTCGAGGCTATTATAATGACGAGAGAGCTTTAAAACGCCCGATCGCGTAGGCACGTAAATATATACGCGTGGATGTCTGCGATCGATTCTCTGTGAATTCGAGAATGGGCAGAAAATTGTTTTTTCTTCAGTTTTGAAGAAAATCGTTTTTTTTTGTGTAAGGCATGTCTCAAAATTTTATTAGAATTTTTCGGACCATCTACTGGTTTTTTCTAGAGGTCTCAAGTGAGACATACTTCCGAATTCATGGCTAATTTTTAAAAAATGACAACCTCATCTGGGCTAAGATAGTTGCATCAATCGTCGACTTGATGCCGGTCTCTCTTCTCGAGCCGTATTGTGCTATTGATTGGTTTTAATGAAGATTTATGTTACTAGATAATTGCAATGTTGTGGGATTGAATGAACACGATCTCCGGGTCTCCCGTTTCATCTACAGGAATTATTGATTTTATATTATACACCTAAAAAACAACTCATCAAGCCTCAATTACTAGAGTAACGAATTTGATTAGAATTAAATTTACGAACATCTTCATAAATAATCTCATGGATCTCAATTATCATCAACGAAAAATACGAATTCTGACGAAATTAAACATTTGTTAAAATCACCCTAGAGAACGAAATCGACTTGGTTGGTTATGTCGCTTTTAACAAAGCGCCAACGATACATATCAAAAGAGGTAAATTTAAACAGCAGATCTAATGTAACAGTAGGATGTTCAAGCACTAATTTAACGTATGAATGTACTTATACCACTTGCAGATTTACTAGTAAAGATACTCGCCATCTAGTGGCGAATGCTGGCTTTAGTTATGATTGAATTCTCATTCATTTTTTTGTGCAATTATAATATCAAGACAAATCAGCATTGAAACAGCTTATACGAGTTTACTACTGCAGAGACAAACGTAAAAATTAAAACTAATCAAGTTCAATCAGATATTTAAGCACCAAAAAATTAGTACACACTTGCAAGTTAAATTCAAGTGATACTTAAAAATAATTCAAGTTTATATACATTTTTATACACCGAGCTCGGATCAGTGGTGAGCCACGGCACGACTATACCCGGCACCGTGTATCTGAGGCCACCGAGTGAGAACAGACAGCGCGACGCGGACGGTCGGACCGTGCAAGAGGAAGCGCGGATTGCAGGCGGCTGCGCTTCGACCCGAGGACAGGGCGTGCGCCTCGAGCGCGAGGTGCCCATGCTAAAACAGATCCTGAAAGAATGGCACCAAACGAAGCTGAGCTCGATATACCTGGCCATAATCGACACGCCCGTGATCTGGCTGGGCAACTATAACAAGGAGAATAAACTACCGTTCGAAATCCAGGACCTAATGTACCACTGCAAGCTGCACGACGAGTTCATGGTCCGACTGGAACGGCCGGAGATCGGGGGATTCGCCCGTAAGATGAACATGCTGGTCGGGCTGCTGTGCCACGAGGCCAGGCGGACCATCAGTAAGACGGATATGCAGAAGAAAGAAGAGATCTATAGCAAGTACCTGCGGCTGTGTCAAGTCTTACATTCCTGAAAACGTGACGATCTTTGATCTGCGGGAGGTCCAAAAGGCGTTGACGCACTTCACGTAGAGACATCACCTACCTATATTTACATTTTGCACTATTTTTCACAATTGTATTATATGATTTTATAATTTTAATACACCGGTAAGCGTAAGCGTTTATCGCTCGACTGTATACAATACCAGCGACACGCTTACGGGATAATTTACAAGACGCCCGCCAATCGTTCGTTTGAGATATCGATATCGGTCGATTGTGCAATCATATCAAGAGCTGCTACCGTTGTAAACATTCCTCGAAGTCGATATCAAGTTCGATCGTTGTAATAGCCGTCTTTGAAGCGCAGTAATTTCTGAGCGCGTATTATAGCTTTGCCAAGCTATCGATACTATCGATAAGCTGCTTTATTTGTTTCATATTATAATGTTAGATACGAAAACAATTAATCTATTATGTACAATATTAATTTAAATTATAATCAAATAACGCGAACCTAGAATACAGCGGAGAATTCTAATAAAAACATGTACACAAAAACAACGTTTTTTGTTGTGCCACTCTCAAAAGAATCGCAACTTTGTGTGTGAGAAATTCGTATACAAGAGATTCGTCCCGCTCCATTTCGTTTGAACCGGCTAATTCGAGCAAATGGTTTCGAAGCGATAAAAACACGAAAAAAAAACATAGCAAGTACCGTGTACGACTCCCTGTATACGAGTCTTAATTGAGAGCAAGTCAACGCGCCGCAAGTTCGCGTCGTCGTATTTCTCTTTCCGAGCCCGCATGAAAAAAAGTACAATTGCCACACGAATCGACAATAAATAGAAGCTGGGAGGAAAAAAAAACGACGACCAGCCCGAGCCTGCACCGTACACCGTCTGTGTGTGAAACCAAACGAGAATCAACGAACAATTAAGAGCCAAAAGCTCGTTTTTCTTACACATATAATACGCGAACATGTACAGCCACGGCTGCATTCAAAGTCTTTTTTGTCGGCAGCTCGTAGAGTCGGTATATACAGGCGAATAAGAAGTGCTGATGCGCCGCGCGTGGCACTGCAGCCGCCCGGCCACGCCGCGCCTATATATATTTATAGCTGAGCGCTACGGCGGAACGCGCGCAGCCTAGCGAATTAACGGAAGAAGATTCTCTTTTAGCATAAATGTCCTTTGATCAAGCGCTCGCCTATACCGCTCACTCCCCCTCCGAAAAGCGGATATCTCTCTTCGGCCTCTCTCTCGCTCACTCTATTTTCTCCTCGGCAAAAGAGAGAGACAGAGAGAGAGAACTCGGAGCTTCGTTCAACAAGTATACACACACACATATACTAACAGGGCGTAAATGTGCATGACGACGACGACGACGCTAGACGAGACGCGGCTGCCGATCTGCTGCCGCTGTATAAGCGACGAGTAAATTTCTCGTAAAAGTTATATACTTCCTGAATTTTTTAGCAGCTCGACGACGACGATAAGGATCGCTGTAACTGCCACCGTGACACGGCCACTTGGATCGTATTATTATAGATATCAAAGTTTAAATTTTCACTCGTTTTATGGAGTAAAAAATTCGATCGCGAAAGAGAAAGATGGAGAGAGAGAGGCACACAGAGAGAAAAAGACTTAATGGTCCAACGATATATAGAGGTGCATGGCACGGCTTTGTGTCGACGTTGCCATCTTTGATATATAAATTCAGAGCTTCGCAATTCCACAAACGAGTAGGCGCACGACGATTCTTTGTGCCGGATCGCTCGCAATCGTTGCAAAATCGTCCCTCTCAATTAGTGCTTTACGAACGATCGAAGCTACCAACCAACCAAAAAAAAAACAGAATATAATATAATGCCTTTCAGCTACTCACCAAAATGTCCTGTAGCAGCTCGTGCTCGTCGAGCAGTATGACCTTGCAGTGGAGCAGTCGCGGTCGGCGATTCGCCGAGGGCCTCAGGCCCGGACACAGCCAGTCGACGACCATGATGCAGCTTTGCAGCGGATCACAGTCTAAGGCAATCGTCACTACTCGATCTACCGACAACTACTGCTGCTGCTGCTGCTGCTGATCTCACTGCGGCGTCCTTTCTCTCATATGACATACTCTGGAAAAACAAAAGACACATGGGTCAATTATTGTCGGGCAGAATTTCGTTTCGTGGTGACGATGTAATGATGTTTACGAATGAATTTAGTGGACGCGAGGGTTGTTATTGAATTTTTTTTTCCATAATCATATATACCAGCAATTTCATTTTGGGTATCTGGATGATAGGATCGCTTCGCAGCAGCCCCCATTTTTGCGGATTCGGTCGAGTGATTTACGCGCACCGAGCCATTATCTCTTTTCAGCTGGTGTACAGTGACGATTGTAATGTAGGATACAGCGATTCGTTGATATGTGCTGTAGCTTACACGAACCCGCATGTCTATGCCTTATAGAACGCATTATTCTTGATTAACGTGTACACTAACTCGATGATTTTTTCTCGTCCCTGCGATTATTCCGTCGCTTCTCTCGTTTTTAATAAGTTAGTCATACGAATAAGCTTCGAGCGTAATAAAAATGTTTTGTAAAAAAATGATGATAGTACAGATATCGCTTAAAATCGATAAGCAATTATCGTAATTCAAAAGTATAATTGTGTAACGATACTTTTATCGACGCGAGAAATTAAATAATTTTAAATTAGCCGTTACGACGCAAAAGTGCAAGTTATTCGAGAGAAGAAGAGAGATGAACTAATATACATAGTATTTTAGCAGTTATGTCATACACGCCGAATGTACACGCTTGAAAAACTCTCAATGACGAGCTGCTGCTACTGCATTACGAAGCATCGCGGCGTATACATGTTTAAATTATGTACGCACGTGCGTACGCAGATTTTTGCATGTGTGCACATGCTTGTATCTTATGTAAATATATATGAAGTGCAGCAGCAGCAGCGATGACGTAATTCGCACCTTTTCATTTTTTTTCCGCGCAACCCTTACTGCTGCTGCTGCTGCTGCCATTATTAAGTATGTTAATAAAGAAACAAGACGCGCGCGCGCGCAGCTAGCGGCGCACTCGAGTCTTCGAAGCGCACAATATTAGAATGGTACTCGAGCACATGATATAGGAAGTTGTTCAAATGCAACGGTGTGCTTGTACGTATATATGAGGTCGCTGTAAAAATGCGTGTCGCCGTTATAAGCACAAAATTAACAGGAGAGTCCATTAGTTGGCATATTTTTCGTGATAAAAATCTCGGGTACGTGGCTCCGTTACTAAAGCGTAATTATTCGTCGATCGTTTCGAGTGTCCTGATACAGGCACCCGGCTTCGAGTCCGCGAGTGAAAACGTTTTGTTTGTTACTCTATTCTCTCGCCCGATATATACATCTGATCGCTGTCGTCCTATCGGATCGTTCGTGGGTTATATATTGTATAAATATCGTATCAGTCGTTGATGGAGGTATAATGCTGCGTGCATGCACGTGACGTTCGCCAAACTGCGCGCGCACGACAATTACACGACGAGACGCATGCGATAATATGATCGAACGTAGAAAGCTCGTTGCGTATATTCAAGGCTTGGTGCATGGTATGCGTTTTTTTTTTTCATTAATCATCCCCTCGCGATAAACCCCGTCGATGATTATACGCGCAGGGTCGTATACGTATCGTATACGCAAGCAGCTGTTATAACGTACGAGTATGGGATAAGTTGGCTCGCTGCAGCGAGTCTCGAGAGAGAGAGAGGAAAAACAAGTGCAGCGCGTGTATGTATGCACGTACCGAGGCACGTACGCGCGTCGCGACTTTCGACGATGCAGCATGAGCGACTCGGCTTACGCCCGCGTGTGTGTATAATGTACGCGGCGCGCGACATTTGCATCCCATGGCCCACCGTGTGTCTGTCTATACACCGCTGCAGACTCAGTCACCTTCCGACGTTTTTTCTTCCTCGACTTCTTCGTTTTCTGCCTCTCTCTCTTTTTCGTTTGTGCAGTGTGTTGTGTCGTGTTATGCATATATAGTACGTGCGACTATTTCTCTGCTGTACGTACGCGCGGGCATTTGTGTGCGCGCGGATACGAGAAAAAGTGAGAGAGAGAGAAAGAAAGAGGCTGTAGCTGCCAGCCTACAGCGCCCGAGCGAGAAGATACATCTATGTATACGCGCGCGTAATTATTTCATGACGCTTACTACGTGGCGCTCAAAAACACATACACGCACACACGTGTGCATGTGCAGAGAGCCAAGAGAGAGAGAGAGTATATAACCCAACCCCCTTATATAGTGTAGCGAGCTTGCGAAGCTGTGACGACGACGACGGCGTTTTTAATTCAGCACACACACACACATATCACTCACGTGTATAGGAATATACCGTGAGGTCGAGCTTCGAGCGTCGTACAGTGTTCGTTTCAACGTTTTTCTTTTTTTTTTCGCCAAGTGCATGCCCGTGCGTGTTACCTTCTCCCGTACATATACGCATATATACTAGCTGCAAGCTCGCCTGATCCAGCTTTCTTGTAATTTTTCTCTCTAAAAAAATTATAAACTCGCGCGTTCGCACGGCTTTTTTTCCAACGCACGCACACGCACACTCTCTCTTCTCACTCGCTCTCTCCCTTCTTCACGCTTTTACGTCCTCTCCTTTATTAAATATAATGTAACATTGTCGCTTGAGCTTGCGTACATTGCTACGGGCGTGTAATGTACGTAGCTGACTTTTATACACGAGCGCGTATATAATTTCTAAATCATATACACATAATAAAGCTCTCTCTCTCTCTCTCGCGCGCGCGTTTGCAACAAGCTGAGCTTTTTGACGAGCGCACGGGGAGCTGCTGTTGCTGCATGGCGTGTATACGTATATAATAATAAACGTATGTTCGCGCACCTACCTGGCCGGGGCTCGAGAGCGTCTCAATGACGTAGTTTACTTCACTTTTCTCTCAATCTGTACTATACATGTATATAATATAATATGTACGTAAAACGTTGCACATTTATACGGTATAGAATGCATAATGTAATACATTTTTCGCAATCTTTCTTTCTTTCGCTATATATAGAGTAATATATAAGATTATACATTTCTATTCCGTGCGAAAAGTATTTTTCAAGGCAGCCGAGCTGAAAAAAAGCTCATCAATCTATTTCGTGCGATACAATTCCACACTGCTGTACGTGCGATACAACGCGCGCGCGCGAAACGAAGAATGCAACTACGCGCCAGTGTATCGCAGATAAAACGATCGTATAAAAAAGAGCGAGAAGAAAAAAAAACCGGGAACGAGAGAGAATCGAAAAATATTGCGCGCAGCTTGCAGCAGAGCACAGGTTGTTTGGCGCGCCAAAGCTCGTGTCTATAGCGGGCGTTTGCGACGACCCGTGCAGCTGCGACGCGGCGTGTTGCTGCTGCTGCTGCTGCTGTGTATCGTCGTCGTCGTCGTCGTCGTCGCTCGACGCGGAGAACTTGGAGGGTGCAGCAGCTTGCTCCGCGTCGCATAAAAAATCCAGCCACTGTTGCACATCGCAGTAGCAGCAGCTCTCGCTCTTATACCATAGAGAGAGAGAGAGAGAGAGTCTGTCTTTACGTCGAACGAAGCGCGAGGACTCGAGAGTTGGCTCTCTCTCTCTCTTTCTCTCTGTCTTTCTGTATCACACGGTATATACGTATACGCGACGCATAAGAGAGTCATGTACCACGGCGAAGCGCGCGCAGTAGCAGTCACCCCTTGCGGCTCGTGCACGCACCTACATATATATATTCAAGGGGGGTTGTTGCGCCGCGCTTGCTGCACGGTGGCGCAGTGTAACGAAAAAAAAGAGAAGATAGAATGAAAGAAAGAGAGAAAGAAAGAAGAGAGAAAAGCTCGTGAGGCACAGCAGCAGCAGCAGCCTCTCGCGCTATCTACGCGGACGGGGGCTGCAGGGCGAGTGTGGCGCGTGGAAGAAACACAGCCGCAGCTTATCACGCGCGTAGGGATGTACACCTATATTAGCGAGTATGTATGTGTGCGTGCGTACCACCAACACCAGCACCGCATTTACACACATGTATCTGTGCTATGTACGTGTATGTGTGTACGCAGTGTGGCAAACGATTCTCGCCCTTTTGCGAGCTATACGTATATATAATCGTGATCAAGGTGCAGGCGCGTAGCCAGTGAGCCAGGAGAGAGAAGAGAGAGAGTATCATCAAGAGCGCGCGCGCGAAATCGATAATGGCACCGTATGTATAAGCTCTATTATACGTCGTACGTGTGGCGCGTGGCACAATAGCTCCTCGTCTGATTTTCTCTCTCTCACTAGCTCTGTGTACGCGCGCGATGCATCAACTGCTGCTCCCGACGCTCCGCGCGCGAGCTATATACTTGTGCAGCAGTAGCAGCGGCAGCAGTTGCGAAGCGATATACATCTGCTCGTTGTGTGCAGTGCAGTACGTCGGGGCCAAGTAACGCTTAGGATAAGAGAGAGAGAGAGAGAGAGAGAGGAGAGCGCGTCGAGAAAAATTAAGAGAGAGAGAGAGAAAGAAAAACGAGGTGCACTGATAAAGAAGCTCCGAGTCGTCGGATATAATATATTAAAGCTCTTTCTTTATCTCGGTTACCATTAATATGTGCCGCGTATCCCACCCAAGCACACTTTCAGCCAGGAAGCTCCTATTACAAACGCAGTGGTATACCGTGCACCGTGAAAATTTAAGGCCAAAAGACAAACACAGGACAATATGTACGATACGGTGCAGCACGCGACGAGATGACGATGATCCGTACATACGCGTACATATATAAATGACAACTGCGCACGTGCGCCTAGGCTCTACGTATGCGTATCTCATCGATGCCTGTACTGCTTCATGCCTGCGATTTATATCTATATTGGTTTATTATACGTACGCGCGTGTGACTGCGCCTAAGGGCGACGAAGAATTATTATTATATACAAAAAAGAGGGGGGGGTGCGCAGGATTAGCCGCTGATGATACGCTACAAAGGCGAGATATAAGAAAATATGAGCTACTTATTTCGAGCGGTGACGGTTTATGGAGC